ACAAAACATAAATTCAGCTCAAGAGCAGGATTTATGGGACAGTGCCATGTATATATTCAACTGGAAACAGAAATCCACTGTGTTTATCAAAATAAAATGCAAATAAACAGGAAAAAGCTTGTATTACCTGAAGGACAGAGGGGGATGGGCTCTGTTAACCATGTTGCTTTATTGCACGTCTCCCCATACAGCACATTCCTTGCTTCCTCCACCAGCCTTGCTGGTCTCACAGGAATTTAACTGGGAACCACCCTGTACAGCTCTACCATCACCCTGCAGTGTGTCCATCCATGGCTCAGATGGGATTTGGGAAAAGCTCTGCACCACTGACTCACTGCATGTTATCGAAAGGCACATATAGACAGAGGTCTTCCCTACTCCTGTAAGGGCATTACAGCAAGCACTGTCCTAGGGGTCAGAAAAGCACACTGTGTTTTTTCTGAACAAGGGCAGTAACAAAATATCCACCAAAAGCATACAGCGCTTAAAAGGAAAAGAGACATCTGTAAGGCATCTCTTTGGAAAGGATGGGAGCTCTATGAGCAAGTCTCATGCACAATACTTGTGAAATTCTCACGCTTGCCCTCACAGGTCCAGCACAACCCCAGAATCAGGAGCGTGCCCACAAGAAGATGCTGCAATGCATCTGAGTCTGAAGCAGTTCTGAACATGTGGCTCAAGTTGAAGGGGAGTTAGAGCAAGAGACAAGAAAAGAGCAGCTGTAGAAATAGTATTGTGTTTCATCTGCTACTGTCATCATACATAATCAGACATCAGTACCACATGGCCACTGCTGGCCAGGAGCTGAGGGGCAGAGCAGGTTGCTCCGTTGGCTCTGTGCCCACCACACCACTGCTTCTCATCCTCCTTGGCCCTAGAAATGAGTCATCGAGCTTGTTTTTACACCCCAAACAGTCCCACCTCTCTCCCACCAGCAGGACTGAGAGAAGTCCTGCTGATGGCAGCCAGTGGTGGGGAAGACAAGACAGCAGGAGGCACTGAGCTATAATGGAGATAGGGGCCATAAAAACCAAGACAAGCAGAGTAGCTCACCCTGGGCATGACACTGCCCAAGGCAAAATCTGAACTCCTGACAGGCAACACAGTCTGAACACAGACACTTTGCTTCAAAGAGAGGTGCAGGGCACCCAACCCAGGTCTGTGACCGAAGGACCAGTAGAAAGATTGATAGCTTGAAAGTCTGGAGGATGAATTAAAAGCACCAGAGGAACTGCCAATTGCCAAAAGCAGAGAGGCTTGTTCTATTACATTTCAGCCTCCAGGGTCACAACTGGTTTCTCACAAGACAGTTATTTCGGCCACTTCGCTGATCTACATCCCTTGGTATGCAACCACAAGCACTGACAAAGACAGCCAAGGAGAAGAGGTGGGAGCAGCGAGGTAGGGCTACAGGCATACTTCTGCCTGACAGTCTCACTGGAAGGAAACGGCAACAATTACCAAAACAATGCAGTAAATATCACTTCCCTTACGCTAAAGCTACTTTCATGTCCAGAAAAAAAAGCTTTACAAGAATGTGGCATTATTACTGCAACTGAAAGAGATTAGAGACAAAATTAACAACAGCCCCCCTCCTGTGAATCTGACAGCACTGCTGTCCCTGGAGCCTTGTGGCATGCAGGGACCACCAGCAGCAAAGAGCCCAGGATGGGGGGCATTTAGAAAAAAATAATACATTTTGCCACCTCGTTTCTCCAGGAAGGACTCACAGAACACAGCAGCCTGGTCCCACTGTCTTCAAGGTTGGATGGGCCCTGGGCAACCTGAGCTAGTGCTTGATCTAATGGTTGGCAACACCACCCTGGCAGGCTTTTGGAAGTGGGTGGTCTTTGAGGTCCCTTCCAACCCAAAAACATTCTGTGATTCTACGAAATCTCATGGGCCCCAGCTGAGGAAGGGCCATGGGATATCAGACGTACTTGAGATGAACACAGCATTGGATGGAGACCAGCGGGCAGCCCAGATGGATGCTGAGCAGCACACCTCTCACCAAGGGATAGGTGACCAGGAGCTCCTCATCCCCAGCTTCTTGGAGGCGCCTGACGGCAGTGCGGGGCAGGGCACAGTGACGTCTGTATGCAGGTGGGTACCGGGACAGAGAGAGCGAGGCCACAGCCCAGTCCTGGTGCTTAGCAGGCAAACACTCGAGTAGAGATAGGCAAACTAAGTTATGCCAATGTAATCGCTTTGATGCGAGGCTTTAGCCATCATTTCCTAACTCATTTTTCCTTAAGTAGGGGGTAAGGGGCTTAAAACAGAAACAGGGAGAGGCACTTAACAGAGGTTAATATGGCTTCGGTAAACAAAGGATTTTCTATCTATACATGGCAAGTAGAAGCAGACGCGCGTCCCGCCAGCAGCACGGTCGGTCCCGCGACGTGGGCTGCGGCGCCCCAACCCCTCGGGGAGAACGTGGCACCAGGCGAACACACCTGGCCGCGGAAACAACTCCGCCCTGTGCCAGCAGCCACCTGCCGACCCCAGCTCGGCTCCCACAGACACACCCGCCGCTTTGCTCCGCGCCGAGCCGTGCCTGCCGGCAGAGCGCACGGCCCCCGGGCAGCCCCGGCGCCCAGCACCGCCCGCCCCGGCCCCGCGCAGCCCTACCCGTGAGATGGTGAGGGGCTGCTCGAAGTCCCGGCCGCCCACCAGGCGGAAGCCCCATGGCCCGGGGCCCGTCAGCACGATGCGGTGGGTTCCCATGTGCACGGCTACACCTCGCGGCACGCCCGGCAGCACCGGCTCCGCTCGCTACGGCTCTTCTCCGCTCGGCACGGCCCGCCTCCGGCCCCTCCCCTGGCTGCTCGCCCCACGGGGCTGCCTGCGCGGCTCCAGGAGGAGGACTGAGCCCTGCTCTGCCCTAGAGGCGAGGCAGCATCGCTGGCTGGGCTTCACCGGCGGTAAAAGTTTGGGGAAAGAACAAAAAAAAAAAAAGTAAAAACCGTCCCGCCACAATTTAAAGTGAGATTCTTCCTACAGCAGTTTGCAAGGCTGAGCACGTCGCGGGGCAGTCTCGGGCTGTAGAAGCGCTGCCTGCCGGCCCGAGCACAACACAGACCATTCCATGCGGGAGCGGCACCGCCGAGGTACAACTTTGGGCAGCGCGGCTGTTAAGGCAGAACCCAACGGTAGAACTAAGAAGAGGCTCCAAGGGGACCTTAGGGAGAAGAACACTTTCTCTTTCATTTATCTCTGATTTGTTGTCGCTGTAGGCAAAATTTTCCTTTTTTTTTTTTTTTTTTTGTTTCTCTTTTTTTTTTTTCCTGATGCCCTTAGGGGCACAACCAAAAGGCAAAGAAAGCATTCTTCCTACCAGCCAGCAGCAGCTGAGGTAGATCACACAGGTGCTGCTTATCTCGCTGCTGGGCACAGGTGAGAAGGATCTGCCCCCTTTCTGCACACATCTACCCTTCATAAACGTTAATCACTTACACCCTCTCAGCCTCTCCTCACAAGATGTGCACCAGGCCCTAATCACCTCTGTAGTCTCTGCTGAGCTCTTTCCAGTGATTTTGTGCCTCTTTTGTACTGGGTAAGTAGACTGGTATGGAGAGGGACACAACAGAGGTCTTCAGTGGAGGTAGATGTCTCCTTGTGCCCAGGAACACACATGTACTTCCCCCTATGTCTTCTGGCTCTTGCTGAAGACAGCTGCTGCAGACAAACCAGGGTACCACATCGCTCTCAGCAAATGATTTCTGCCTTCTCTCCTCACTGGGGCCTGCTTAATACCACAGAGCATGGTGGGGTGCTCTAAGGAATAAGCCCCTTGCACAGGTCACAACGGGAGCTGGTGACTTGGTGCCCTTTCTCTCACCCTGGGGCAGTGGTTTCCCCACACAGAGCCCCAGTCATGCCCTCAGGGAAGTCCACTGAGGAGGGTAAGATGCTACAGCCAGGTTCCTCACCCACTCCAGGCACAACAAAGCGAGGGTTGGGATAGTGGGTGCTGTAGCACAGTGATGGCAGCTGCTCTTCTGCTTTTTCTGCATGGTAGCCTGCAAAACTGAAAAATGTTCCCAGCCCTGCTTGGAACAGCCTTCCTTTACTCTGCAGGGAAGAGTTGTTTCTGTGAGACACAATCCAGAATTCCCAGCCAGCTGTTCTGCCAGAGGGCTGGGAGCTGTGGTATGCACACCACAGACTTTGCCTTCAGTCAGCGCTGTGGCAAGAGCTGCCTGCGTAGAGTGCAACTATTTGGCAACCTGAGGGGCTGCAATGCGACAACGTCTCTTGGTGGCGTCTGTGTGGACCTGAGTCTCCCAGCCCTGCTTCCCTGAGTGTGACCAAGTACAGCACACATCAGGTTTAGGCTGCACACAAAACCAGGGCAGTAGGATGAGGCTGGAGGAGAGGCATTAGCAGGGAGTTAACATCCTGGAGAGCAATCACCCCACTGAAGGTGCCACTTATTGACTCCTGGGCTTCATGTCCTCTTCACACTACAGAGCTACCACAAAAGCAGCAATGGGCACCAGAGGTCAATAACTGAATGCAGAGGACACAGCTGCCGCCTGCCACCCTAAGAGAGGGCCAGGGGGTAAAACTACTGGCAAAGGCACCTCTAACTTCCATAGGCACAAGGGCAGAGAAGAATCTGAACACTGTGAAGTTTCTGCCTTTGCAAAAGGCAGTTTTCTTTTCACCTTTGCAAAACACTGGGATCAGGTGTGTTCCTGAGCTGCCAGCTCTGCACCCTGACCTCATGTTACTGAGGGATCGGATGTAAAATGTTTTTTTTCTCTGCTTTCACACCTTGTTTTCTTCAAGAATGAGCCACAGCCTGCCTGGCTCATAAGAGAGCCCTGGTGAGGTAAAGCCAAGGTGAGAGCAGGATCTGGAAGCATGGGATGGCAGACGTCTACAGCTCAGAATGGCCACAGCCACTGAGAGCCACAGACAGCACTGGTACAAATGTGCATTGCTACAGGAATAGCGGGAACAGGCTTTATTTAATAATTTGTACAACAAACACAATAGTAATTCAATACTTCCATTTATTAATTGCCAAATAGTAATCCACTGCAATAAGGAACAAAAATCAACACAAAAATAAATTGTGATGTGTGTGTGTGTGTGTGTGTGTGTGTAACTTAAAATGGCAAGAGCGAGAACAGAAAATAAACCTCTAAATGAGTAGGTTATATACAGTCAGTATTATTGTGTTACTTTGCTGGATAGATTAATTTGGTGCTATCCAATCTTAGCAACAGCCTATGTCTTGCTATGAATAACTGGAAGAAAAAACCAAAGCAGAAAAAAAACATAAATAAGATGCAGAATTAATGATATCTCCTATTGAAAGAGACAGTGGTGCAGTCAGTGGTCAGTGTCATATCTGAAACTCTTTCATAGTGGATATTTTGTGCTAAAACTCTTTATATGAACACACACAGAATTCCATCATTTAAATAAAAGTGGAATAAAATCCCAACCTCTGACAACTGCCTTTCTTTTTCTCCCTTCGCTCAATGCGTTTAAATTATTTTTCTATACAAGGTAAGTACATTGTCTGTACAAAGTTAAATATACATATTTACAGTCAAACTTCTGAGACACTGAGTCTTCTCCTCCGCAGACTGAGACGGAAGACAAGCCTACTTGATTTCAAACCCAGGAGCATGGCTAGTTTATCAAAACATATTGCAAGTCGTGCTAACAGTTAGTTGTAGTTACTCTTAATAAATCTGTATAAAAGCATCAGCATAAAAATAGGCATTTTATATTATTAAATACGGCTTATGACAAAATAGCAATCTAACCTTTTGCTATTTGTATGGTAACTGTAGGAAGCAGAGTCTGATAGAACCGGTTTTGTTTATACTTCTTAATAACAAAGTGTCTATCAAAAGAGTATTCGTAGTGGATTTACAGGCAAGCCACGTTTTTTTCCTCAAAGAAATACAAATCTCTATGACTGGTAACAACCGCTGTAAACACGGCTTTCCAAACTGAGCAGACTTTTTTGTTGGACTAAGGGCCAGTCAAAATGCAGGTGTTTATTGGATCTACCATCTACACTGCAAGAACAACAGAAAAAGGCACCTTCAAAGGCATGTTTCTCAGACTTATCAGAACCTCTGACATTTAATGCTAGAGAAGCAAAGCCTTCTTCCCAAAGAGCATGCTTCAACTCTTTTTGGGCCAAAAAGGGGGAGCAGAGAAAGCAAACAGCCGTAGGACTCATAAACAGGATTTGCTCTCATGGATGTTCTGTTTATTGGTTTTATTCTTTGTGCAGATAAATGTCAAAGCCAGGTTGTTTTCTCTTTAAAAAAACATTACTCCGTTCGTTTTGCTGCACACAGTACACTCACACACACACACACACACACACCCTGCACAAAAGAAAAAAACCTTGCAGAAGTGGGTAATGTGTTAGGAAAGGGTTTGGGCTTTTTGCGTGTCTGCAGAACACTTTGGCTGACACCTCTGGATTAAACTTCCAGTCCCAAACTCCTTCTCAACAGAGTTCTGCAGTTTAACCACACTGGCTGTCCTCTGCCCATACGGGGTCTTAAGGTGCATGGCATGAAGGAAGGGAGTTCTATGGGAGTGGAAGGCAGAGCACAGCAAGCCTTCAGCAAGGCAGGAAGCCTGGCCTCCCTGACCTCACCAGTGAACGGAGAAGCTGCAAGGTCACGTACTTTCTGAAAGTACTGTCATATCTTAACACACAAACAAAACCTATACCTTTTGCTTCCCTGAAGCCTTCTCAGAAGTAAAGTACTCCATACGAATTAAGGTTATCACCAGAACTCTTGTTGGGGAGGGGAGAGGAATACACAAAGGCAGCACTGTAAACTAGAAACTGTCTCTCCTTCAGCAAACAAATCATACCCTGAATTAGTAGAAGCAGGGCTACACATTCAATTCAATACTGTACCACATAACCACATCCTCCTAACACTTTTCATCTCTTGTCTATTACATTCATAAATTGTCTCTCTCTTCATTGTTTAAAAACACCATCAGAAAAACAGCTCCATCTCTGTCACTGTGGGATTACTGTTACTTTACAGGTACAGAAGCTTCACATAGTTGCCCGGGAAGGTGCCGAATTGCCTTGTTCTCCTGGATGTACCTATAGCAAAATAAAAGACAAGGAAGCCAGAGTGAGATGGAGCCATCCAAGGAAGGCTTAGTGGTTTAAAAGGTCAAGATGGCAGCCCCTGCTGCTTGCATTCATTGTTTTATAAAAATATATAAGAGTCCTGGTCAGAGAGCCTTTTGGTATAGAAGAGATCAGAACTAGTCTGCTAATAACCATCTTTGGTCTTTGGTTCTAACAATGAAGAAGGTGGTGGTGATAGCTCCTGGTCATGTATGCTAGGAGCCAAACTTTGATCTATTCAAATGATCTCAGCTTCCTTAAGAACTGAGGACAAGCCTAGATTTGCACTGTTGAGATGGAGAGCGCTGTACAGACTTACGTTACTTGAAGCTGCAAGACTTCATTTAGTTTAGACTACCATGTTTAGTTGAGGCTGGATTTCTAGAGACTGCAACTCCAATACAAGCGCTCCTTCTGCCCCCTACTTGCCACCTTCTGTAACTTGTCATGACTCCTTTGAAAAGGCACAGAAACCCACTTTTCCTTGATTCTCTCTGCTGCTCTGCAAACTGTGTGAGCAAGGAGGATCAGGAGGAAGAAGGGAATATGGAAATTAAAAGAAAAAAAAAATTGAAAACCTGGACATATAGAAAGAAAAACAAAGTTCCACTTCCCTGCACCCTAATTTTAATGTTCTCAGTAAGAGAAGATGAGAAATCATCAAAAAAGTTAAGTTGATTTTTTTCCATTCTGTTTCAATCCTGCAAATGAAAGCAGCTTCTAGATGCTCTGCAAAAATACTCATCTGCATCTCAAAGGCTCCTGCTGCCTGGCAAACATCACACTTACCCACAAACCAGCCATCATCACATTTCTCCATAACATCAACAATATCACCATCCCTCAGTTCCAGCTCATCATCGTTCTGAGGAGTGTAGCTGTATAGAGCTTGGTAGCTAACTCTAGAATAGAAAAATACCACACGTTAGTCACTGGATTTTGTTCAATACAATCTGGACCTGTATTCTCCATTTAAAAGGTGAAAGCCACTCACATTAGATTGGCTGTTACCACAAAGCTATAGCAGGAATCAGTGTCACACCTGCACTGCATAGGATGCGCAGAGCACTTTTGTTTCCCTTGTAGACCATAGACTATAATGACTGCAGCCTTCCTAACATGCTACACCTAGAGACCAGACACCCTACAAATACAAGCCAAAACCTGAATACACTCATTACTTATCTAAATGAGACTTTAGTTCCCTTGTCAGGCACACAGGCAGGGCCATGAACTGCTAAATGGCAGAGTGAGGGTCTTGAGAAAAATATACTGCCTTGTTTACTGCACTAAGGTTGGATAAATCCTGGTTAAGGAGGCACAAAGTTTAAGACTGAATCCTGCTCTGAGGTAATTATTGCTCCAGAGGCACTATGTAATTATCTGAAAGGAATCTTATGAAGTGGAAGAAATCTCTGGGCAAGTCCAGATCCCCTGGCTGTGGGGAGTGAAAATAGAGCGGATGCAAGAGTTTCCATTCTGCATAAAGATAGGGAAAAGCAAAGGCTCCTTTTAGGAGCCAACTGTCACTGAAACCCAGTACAGTGCAGGCTCCTATTCTCAAAACCAACAGTGAAATGCCCTAGCAAGGTTAATGGCAGCTCCAGGTTTAAACTCAACACAGAGCTTTGAAGATCTTAGCCTGGCTCTCTCATATCATTCAGCCACTAATTCTTTCCTGGACCTGGCACAAAGTGACCAACCTTGGGACTTCTCACTATGCCATGAGAAGCTAAGAACAGGGGTGAACATGCTGACCCATGGCATATGAGCCAGATTAGTGCATGTTAATTCACCTCCAGCTTCAGATACAAAGACACTGAAACAGTCTCCGTAAACAGCATAACTGAAATGCCCAAAGGAGACCCAGTCTTGGAGCATAAGGCCAGTGCTCCACATGCTATACAGACACAAAGGTCCCACTTAGATAGACTTCTCACTATTATGAGGCTATTTTTGTTCTGCAAAGAAAAGCACTAAGCAGTTGCTCTTCCATAATCTGAATTTAACACCTGAGATGCTGAAGCTTTCACACATCCCCATCCTCACCGTTAAGTATAAGTCAAGGCCCCTGGAAGAGAGGGGAGCCAAAAGGACTTACATGTCTCGTGGTGTTTGACTTCTGTCAGGGCTGGCTCCTTGCTGCTGTGCTTGAGGTTGCTGAGAAATGATGAGAGATGGTTTATGGTCATTAGAGGTCACCTTGTTGCGAGAGTCAAGAGGCTGAGAAATAGTACTGCAGTAATGCACAGACTTTTCTGCAATGTTTATGATCTCATTGCAAACAGCTTCCTGCGTGGTAGGCAGCATTGACATCCAAAAACACCCAAAGAACAGTCAACAAGGGGGGAGGGAAGGGAAAATATAGACAGGAAGAGATGGGACATTCCAGATGCAGTACATAAGTCCAGTAAAAAAAAAAAACAGTTGTAGATCCAGGTAAACATCCAGGTAGTGGAGTGCAGAAGGGATCCAGGTGTAAGCATGGAAAAACAGGTGAGATATAGAAGAATTTGGCATTTAGTTTGAAGATTTGTAACAAATACATAGACATATATTTTAAAAAGCAGCAGCATAAGAGGTTGCAATTAGATCTGCAGTGGTACTATTACAAATGCAATGAAGTCAGTTCAAGAATGCAAGGTGGGCTGCTCCATTCATGCATTTGGCTTCATTTAGCTTATACCCAGGGACTGGCAGCACAATTAGCCCAACTTCTCATTGATTATGGCAGTTTTTCTAAGTACTATATTCCCTTCTATTGCAAACAAAACAATGTATTAATAGGTAAATAAGTACCTATTTCACAGCTAAAAATGGTGCTGGTATTTTATAATCTATTGAGATGTCCCTGTCTTGGTGAAGAAAGGCTAGGACTACACATCTGATTGAAACAGTAGCCTTACCACATAGCTCTTTTCAGACTCTGTGAGATCTGGTCCAGCTCTCAATGAATGGAGGGAAGGCTGTGTGATCACCAAGCAGATGATAAGGAAGACATTTTAGCAGATGTGATACTGGTCAGAATTTAAAAAAATAAATGGTGTGCAGACAACAAAAGAAAATGAACAACTCTTCCCCTCCCCATCCCAATACCACTCTTTTTGGACAACAAGATCTTTCATTTAAACAAGACATTAGGGCTACAGTAATGCAATTACACTGCAGCGCACAGAATATTGCAAAGAGGACAGCAAAACAGAAGCTTAGAGCACAGAGCCAAAGGATGAGCTAGAAGATCATGGACAGGGCTACAACCAGAACTGATACATAGCGTCACATTGCATTCCTGTGGTTGGGAGGCGGGGGGGAGCGGGACGGACAAGGACAGAAATACATACTTGAGGGCACATAACCCACTGAGAAGAATCTGCTGCTGTTTTTAGCTAAGTCCTCGGTGACTCTGACACAGGGAAGAACAGTAATTTGCTTGCTTCTTAAAAAAAGACCAGCTCAGGTCCTCAGGAGGCACGATGCAGTGTAGCCCCATCAAAATCACTCTAGTTTGTACCCCACAAGGATCTGAGCTGCAACATTAATTCCCAAAACAAAGCAGAGTTTCAGGTCAGAGGAGGCTGACTGAAAGCCTAGCTCCAAACACCATCCAAGAAGCTTCTGGACTCCTTTTCTCCCCAGTCAATCCTCTTCACAGGAACTCCCATATCCCAGGTCACAGATATCCAGAACTTGGTTTTTTTAAGCACGTTTCTGCATTTTCAAACACAAGAAGAATGCTGTGTGCACGCTCTAGCAAATGAGATGCCTGAATGAGTGCAGTTCTGGTAATTCAAGCAGTACTAATTAGAACAGGTAAGATACAGAGCAATACCATCCTCTCTGATAATCCAATACAATATTCATCCCAAACTCCACATGACTCTATTTTTATGCTTTCCCATACTCTTCATTTATTTCATCAGTGCCATTCATTCTGCTCAAAGACGTGGCTGCACCACTGGCTTAGGAAAAGGCTTGTGAGCTCACAGCATCCTGAGGCAGCACAGAAGCTGAGGAGAAAGACGACTGACACCTTCAGCCCAAGCATGCACAAGGAGTCTGGAGAAGCATAGGGTGATGAGTGGTATTTCCCATTCTCAAAGCTCCTATGAACCACCTCTTGGATCTCTAGGACTGTGTTCATCACTGTACTAAAGATAATTGACTCTCTTCTCAAAGACTGTGATTCACTCTACGCGAATCCAATGCCACAACTCCTTCTCCTTCGTAAGTCTTGCTGTCTTGGGCTGGAATCTGGGTTCGGTGCCTTAAAACACAACGCTCTACAACCATGTGCATAGTGTGAAAAATAAAATAAGAGAGAAAATAAAATGTAATTTGGATAGGCTAAATGGGGAGGAATTTGCCTTCAAAGCATTTACTGTGAAGCCTGAAATCACAGCAGAATATACAGAAGTCATTCCTGTCTGCCAATCATCAGTTCTGAAGGGCTAATAGCATAATTAGAAGTTTAAAATTAGTATTTTACAGAGCAACAGGATATAGTGCATCAAATCTGATAAAATCAGAGTTAACCCAGGCAGTGAAGTATCTGGAAAAAACAATTTCCATCATGAGGTGAAAGGTAGCTGTAAGAACGACTTCTTTTTAATTCAAGAAAGTGCTTCTTTGTTCCTCACTAATAAATTGACTGCTGCAATTGCTCCATGAGCTTAAGACCATGCGGTCCATTTCTCACTGATTATTTGCGACCTCTCAGACGAGCTTTTCTCTAAAAAGCATTAACAATTCTGAATTAAATTACTTATTTGAGAGCTAAAGAAATTAGCACTACCTCGGAATGCTCCACAATCCATCAGGGCCCTCAGCTCCCACCCTCTGGGTCACACTTTGCTAATACTTAAGTGTTTCTGCCTCCGTCCTACACAAACGTGGTATAGCCAGTTCCAAAGCACAGCTGGCCACTGTTTCCACCTTGTACAGAGTTTGAGGATGGATCTAAAGAGCATCACAGGTTTGTAGAAATACCAGAAAGATGTTCTATGTAAAGAGCCTAGAAAGGTCCTGAGATAGGTTTTGTACTCTTAGGAAGAAAGATCCTGGGACGACTCAGCAGCAGTTCCCCTGTTCCTAGCAGAGTCATCAGCGTGTCCAACCACAGCAGCACTTGTTTGTATGTCTTCTTCCAATATGTTTCTGGTGTGAGTCAAAAGGACTACATGAGCAAAGAGAAAGCTAAGCAGAACAGACTGACATGACACACAGAAAGAGGCAGAGACACAGGCATCCCTTCAGAGATGGGCATGCAGTAGGGCTGCTCCTGCACATGGATGGAGAGCCATGAGCAGAGAAGACTGCCAGTCCTCCAGAGTGAAGGAAAACTGCTGCATATATCAGATCCCAGCTCTGGGAGTGAGGGAAAAGCTGGCCCAAGAGCTCTCACAAAGGGCACTGAAAAGCTTGCTGTGCACTGCAGCCAGCTGTAAAGGCTGGCAGAAACAATGGAGAGACTCCTTGGCCACTGGATTGGGAGCTAAAGGCTCACACATGTGCTAGCACCACTGAAAATTCATTTGACATTTAATATCAAGTTTCACTGGAATACTGAAAAAACATCTGTTAATTACACTTGCCATATTTTTCACATGCTATGGGCTTGCTCTTTTATCTTTTTTTCTGATCAGTTTGAACTGTGAAACTAAGAAAAGGGAATAATTTTATAATATTTAGAAGAGCCTGTGCTCTTTACATTACTGCTTAGTGGAACAGGCAAGAACACAGCCTTTAACCCAGCTCTGCATCTAAGCGGTCTTAAAACGACAAGAAACCTGGGTTTGAATTTCATTACCTGAGAGATTATCTTTTACGAGCAAAATATGACATTTAAAACAGTACAATACCTCAAACCTCAGGGACAGACAGCATTGAAAACGAAGCCAAATGCAACGGCTCGCTTGCACGTCTACTAAATGCTCTTCTCATTTAATTAAATTAAATGGCAAGAAGATAGATTTTGAAAACGCCCCCGGGTCTGCTGAAGCAATTGGCTTCAATGCTGAAGCAATGGGTCATGCAGGTAATGGGAAGTCATTATATGTGTATATATGTATATACAACACCACTACTGCTCCCCAATAACTGCAGGCCCAGAGCTGGAAAGGAGGTCAAGGCCGGCAGCTGTCAAACACAGCGTTAACTTGACACTGACAATGGGCTGATTGTCAACGCACACAACGTATAAAATGTGCCTTGACTTTAACTCCAAAGAAGTGCTACAGTGTCCCATTGCGACCAGGTGCAGCACCCGAAATAGAAGCGCATGAGAGACAGCATGGGACATGAGGAGAGTAAAAGGAACAAAAATTTCAGAGTTAAAGCCAGATCTCAGTCTCACAAAAGTAAGAACACTGGCATCTACTTCCCACACTCACTCAGCATGAATACGGTTCACTGATGAAGCCAAGACTGCTACCCCCAAAACCATCACTAGAACTCTGCCTGGCTTTTGCTAACTGTGAACTTTCTGCTTCACACACTGCCATCGTGTGGGGCTGCAGGGAAGGACTGACAGCCTCCAGCAGCGAGCGCTGCTCCCTCCTGAGCCGGCAATGCTGCACAGACACAACTCTGTCCCTCTCTAAAGATGACTGCAGGTGTCACAGAATCACAGAGTCATTACAGTTGGAAAAGACCGCTAGAATCACCTTGTCCAAACGACAACCCATCCCCACCATGCCCACTAACCATGTGCCTCAGTGCTGCATCCACTCTTTGCTTGAACACTGATTCCAGCACCTCCCTGGGCAGCCTGTTCCAATGTGCCACTCTTTCTGAGAACTTTTTCCAAATATCCAAACTGAGCCACCTGGGAAGGCTGAGACAGGTCCCCAACATTGTGGACATCAACCTGAGTTGTCCTATCGCAGTTCTGAGACACTCTGGCCCTGAATCCCAATCTCAGGAAATTAAACAATGCCTGAATGAAAGTACCACAGGTGATATTGTTCCTGCTAACAAGGAAGGCACTGATATTGCCTTAGAATGAAATTAAGCTGTAGAAACACAACGTCAGAAATAATCAGCAGCTGAAGTACTAAAAGTTCTGAGCTAATCCTTCAGAGGAACAGAAAATCAGATCTCCAGCTGGTACAAACTGGCAGAAGCTCACTGACCTGCAGTTAGGTGGATTTGCACCAGAAGATTTTGTCCATACCTGCCCTTCTGCACAGCCTGGAAACTGTTTAAACTGCACAACCTGGAAACTGTTTAAATTGCTTGCCTTTTTCTTTTTTTTTTAAATAAAAATGCTTAATTAAATGACAGGAGAAATATCGTGTGTAGAATCGTTGAATGGATAGACAAGCATATGATAAAACAATGGCATGGCATGGAAACAACTGAAAGCAATGGAAGAGTAATCAGCAAAGATGATTACCTGTGGCTTATTGACTCTACGTGTAAGTCTGGGAGGTGGCTGTGTTGTGACAGTAGAGGAAGAGAGGGCAGAGGAAGAGAGAGGAGCAGGTGAAGAGAAAGCTTTTGAGTCTGCAGTCTTTTGAAGAAAAGAAAAGTTCATCAGCTTGACATACACACTCTTATCACAGTCATTGGTAGTGATAAGAACACCTGCTATGCTGTAAGATTTGATGCACACACAGCAAACATAACTCCATGCAAGGGCAGATGCAATTTCCTAGTTGGTTTGTTAGACCTTACCACTTCATTCTGCTTAAAACATGCAGGTTATGCCCGTAGAAAGCACTGCTAAAAATTTTTGCAGTCGGTAAACAGCATAGTCTTAATACAGCTTTCAATATGCTTCTGGTTATGATTCGAGCAGAAATCAAACAAGTTGTTTGAAATCAAACAAGATTTCCCAGTGTGAAATGTGTCATCGTAGAAATTACAGTCCCTCACTATTTAACACTGGCTAGATGGGATACGTCATGGAGGCAATCACATTCCATCAAGAAGCTGTTTGTAACACTATGATTTTGAGCTCCCCAAATTCCCACTCCTGTACAAGTTAGCACGGAAGTGTTGTAATGTAGTTTGGATGGCTGTAGCCCATAATGGACACTAAGACAAGCGAGAGCTTCAAAGTAAGGCAGATCTCCATAAACCAAGACTGAGGACAGAAAATGTTGCAGAAGCTACTAGAAGGTTCCCTTATCTTCCTTCCTGTAACATATGCCTACATATACCTAAATACTCTTGGGAGTATTACACATGGAACCTTTTCATGCAATTTTCAAAATGCAAATTTAATAAATTCCACTCAAAGCACAGATAGCAAGCAAGCCTCCCTGACTTAGCCATGCACATCCCAGACTGGGAATCACTAATCCACAGTCTCCAGGATCATCCATTCTGTATTTCCTCAACAAGGCATAGCTTTTGTGGTTCCAGAAGCCAGGCTGACTATTATAAGATATTTCAGTGCTTGGCTTTAAGGGAAAGGAATAAATCCCACCACCAAAGATGGTCCATTGCACACTGGAAAATCTTTAAATAGCAAATAATTTCTTGTATTCTAGATGGTGAAGTACATGAGCAAGAGGCCTGTATGACCCTTTTATCTGACTCTTTTATCTAGTAATAGCTGTTGTCTGGCATGGTCACCTTGTTAGATATGGCCAATTGAGTCAGTTCTGTGCTACACTACTCCTGAGCACTCTTCTGAAGGTTTCTTATCTACTGCCCAGGGAACGCCACTGGTGAACCTTGGAAGAAGGTCTTAGGATCATTAAAAGGACAAGTGGCAGCCACTGGCTCTGCCTGAATGGCAGAGTAGCACAAACCTCAACACACCGGTAAAGTCAGGCATTCAGAGTAGTGCACACACATGCAGGAGAAGTACCTTCTTTTCCCCGCCTTGAAACTTTCCCAGATCACCTCTCCTCGTGCCTCTTTTCTCTGCTTTACCTCCCTGCACAATAGCCATTAGCTCCTGACACAACTGGTTGTCCTCAGAGGAACTCACAGGTCTCCTTTCTGGGCTTGCACGCATGTCTAGCTGGGATGGTTTCAGACAGCGCTCCACAGAGATGTTGGGAGCAGCATGGGAACCCTGCTCAGGGTTGCTGCTGCCCTCTCTAGTCTTCTGGAGCCAGGCCTGGCTGCCAGGGGTGCCGTGCTGCTCTGTGAGGATGCTCTCAGGGCTCCCGCCTGCCCAGCGAGGGCAGGGAGAAGAGGAGCCACCAACCTTCTCTTTGCTTTGCGGAGCAGCCTGGTAGTAACTGCGAGCGGAGGGCTGAGGCCCAGATGAGTAAAAGGGCAAGGGGGATTTAATGGACCTTGGAGTTGAGGAGCCAGAGAGATGAGAATGGGGGAGGCTGAACGAGGGGGAAGGGCTGGCTACAGTAGGAGGTGAGAGAGAGTCAGTGTGGGAGAGGGAGGCTTCAGGCAGAGAAGGCAATGGAGCAGTTAAGGCAGGAGTGGTGCTAGGAGACACTCCCACAGTCAGAGCAATCCACTCGGATGTGACTGCCTGCACCTCTGGAGACAAGGCACGGCGTGAGAAAGGCAAAGGCGGAGGAGTTGGTGTATGGAGCAGCTCAGAGCTGGGAGACTTGAAGGAGACAAAAGCAGAAGAGAAAAAGAAAGAAATGAACAAAAATAAGAAAGGAAAATTAAAAAAACTATTGAACAAAAGCAAAAGAAAGTGAGCAAGCATGGAGAGGAGCAGATCTACAACCAAGCACATGCCTAAGTTCTCCATGGACAAGTGTATCCTGGAGACAGCTGGAGAATCTGCTGTCCACAGCTGCTCCAACCATGGAGTCCTGTCCATATCTGTATTGGTAATACCTTTCTCCAGCCTTTGCCAGGATTCCAGATGTCTTGTGGAAAACCTTATACTTCTTACTGTTAATCCTAAGTACCTTAAGGAGTAGCTAAAATCACCATCCATGATGGCAGCATACAGCATCTGACTGGCCTGGCAGTAACACAGGGGATTTTGGCAGCTCACATCATGGAATCAGTCAGAATTCATAGCTGCAATGAATTTTGAGTTTATCCAACTTTACATTGAATAACACCTACCCCTCAAGAAATTTGCATGGCTGAAGCTGTGGAGGAGAAACAAATTAAAAGCAAACAAACAAAACAACCAAACAAAAAAAACCAAACAACCAAACAAAAAAAACAGCTATGGCTATTTGGTCTTTGGCTGATTAAAGTCCTGTGTTTATAAAGGCAGAACACAGGTCCAAAGTCTGCCCTTGGCTGTTGCCATCAGTGAGACCAGCTACGTGTACAGAACTGATCACTGTTCCTCAGTCCTCTGCCATGTCAGACAAAAAAAGTAAGGAAGAGAACTGCTCTACTCCAAGGGAATCAAAAGGATAGTTAAGGAAACCAAAAGAGGTTGGATATAATCCCTTCCATCAAAGAGAGAAGCTTGCAGAGAGCTAGTGGCAGACAGGCCACAGCTACACAGTGACAGCCAAGCTCAAACAGAAAAACATGGCTGTAGACCACTTCAACAGCAAACCCCAAACAAGCAGCAAGCCTCTCCTCTTTACACAGTGGCTAATAACAAAAGCACTCCTTAAGGGAAGATCCAGATAGACACCATGCAAAAGCCATGGCATCCTGTACTGTATATCCTCTCCTCCTGATCTCAATTCTCCACTTTAATTTCTTGCAGTCTTGACCTCAGAATGGCCTTCCATGGTCCTGTGACACATCAGAACCTCATGGCCCCACTCCAGACACATATGCTGACATTTGAGCATGAGTATTTGCAGAATGAGAGCAAAACATACAGATTTAGAGACACTGCCTCCCCAATACATATTCCACAGCAAACGTTCTGGGACTCTTAGATTCCCCATGCATTTATCTGTTGCCATTTTCATTTCTGGTTTGAACTGTAGTAGAGTTTGCAGTTAACCCAGTATTCGTGAAAAATCCCAGGTTAGCTTGCTCTCTAAACTTGAGTTCACTTAGTACCAGTCACAAATAATACAGAACACTCTTGTGACTCTGTCTCCTAAAACCTTGGTCCTGACCTGGAACATTTTGGAGTAAGGGTTCAGCTTGATTCAAGCTGTTTGCAATGAACCATAGTGACTGGACCATAACAGTCCATGATGCCCTGGAGGTCTGTAAACACCCCAGAGGAGAAGCTGGATCACCTATATACTCATTCCATTTCTGGCAGTGAAATCATAGCCATTTCACCCTGGCCTGAATTAAAACTACGGATAAGTGAGGAAAAGCTCAATCTCTAAATCCCTAACTGACCCATTAATTAACCTTTCTGGTAAATGAAACATCACCTTTTCTTGCAGGGAGCACTTAGGCTTTACTGCAGAAAATACTAGTGTTAGCTAGAGCTTTTTCCAGCTACTATTTCTAGCATAGTAATGGCAACATGCCCCTGTTCTGCAAGGTGCGTTTACTGGCTGCGTCTAGTCCAAATACCTGTGGTGAAGCTGTCACGCTGCGGTTAGGGGAGAGTGACACAGGTGGGTCTGGATATTCAATGGCATTCTTGACCACTGGCCGTTTGAGCACTTCCACATAAGTTACAGGGAAGATGCCTTGGCGACTCGTGCCAGAGATTCTTCCTTCATACCAGTTCTCATCCACTCGTCGAATCAACGTGATCCTTTCACCCTGTTGAAAGAGCGGCAATGAAGTCAAAACAGATTACATTTTTAATCTTGCTGCAATCGACTTAAAACAATCTGTGGCTCTCAGCCTTCCTTATTTCCCAGTTATGTAGTCCTTACCCTAACCTCTGGGTGGGAATGATACTCTTCAGTTCAGAGAAGAAAGAAGTATAGACCCTTTGGTGCACTTTTTGGACTGCCTACAGGTTATGTTCATCTCACATTTTCAAGACCGTGCATACTAAAGTTAGTTTAAAAATGGAAAACAGAGGTTGTAGTCTGACTGTGAGATCCTTTAGGGGTATGAGAGGTACGTGGAATATGCACAGGTCTGCAGTTTAAACCAGATCTCTCTATGCCCTCTCTCTTGTTTTGCTGACAAATGAAGTGACTTTCAGATCCTTAATACAAACTATAAGCCCCGCCTTCACACATAATTAAAAGACAGCTGACAAGATCTAATTTGAGCATCATGAAAACAGGATGCTGGTTGAAAAAGAGAAATTCTGCTGTTTATATGTGTTTGACTGCACTGAACAGTCATTACAGAACTAATTCCTATTCTCTGACTGCAATCAGATCTAGGAAGTCACTTCAGCATGACAGAATATTGCCTGCCTTGCCTCGTTTAATGACTTGGTTTGTAGTGTGAGAGAAGTGGAATCTGGCTTTCCTCTTATTGAATCACCATTCTCACAAGACTATGTGCACCTCCACTGGAGAGGATCATACTACAGACATGTCATCAAATATTTAATTTTCTTTGCACAGCCCAGCTTACGGCATTTGCACTCCAAGTATCTTCTCAGCTAAACCTAAGAAAGCAATTGGCACTTCTTGATTCAGCTGATCTGCAACACTCTCATCACAATACACAACAGTGGGGTAAAAACATGGGTGATGAGGATGAATCCTTGACAAAAAGGTTGATCTTACTGTCATTTGGACAGTATTCCATCCATTTGGAAACAGAAAGTTACTGGCATTACAAAACTTTTGTCTGGACTCAATTCATCAGTGCAACTTAGGTCTTACCTTTCTGAAAGACATTTCTACTTGAGTATCACCATTGAAGTTGAACTTAGCAATAGCATCTCCATACTCCAATACTTGCAATGGTAATGGCTTTTTGGGCTGAGCTTTCTCAGCTGGTGGGAGAAGCTAGAATGAACAAACAAAATCAAGAGAGTTGCATGAAAAAAGCTCATGAAATCATCACTAGCAAAAAGGGAATGGGCAAAGAGAACACCTCCAGGGTAAGCAGCTACCTCTATATAGGATCGTGGGAAGATGCCAACTCTGCCATGGTGTTCACCTTCATACCAATTCTGGTCAATCTGCTTGTAAATGTAAACAATATCTCCTTTTTGCAGAGGAAGTTCCCTGTTAACAACACAAGTACTCCATCAGAATTCCACTGGAGATCAGATGGGTTCTTTTTCTGTTCAGCAACTCCTAAATAACAAGATCTGCAACATCCCTATACATACACATCATGCTCCAATCAAAGTGAAGGCTATATGTTGAGAATTACCCTGTTCACACCATCATGTGCAAAGAACTCTCTTGCTCTTTGTGTATTCTGTTAAAAAAAAAAAAAAAAAAAAAAAAGAAACAACCAGACTTATGAGGGCCCTACTGACTACACATCCTTCCAGCAGCAGTGGGGTCAAACTCAAGCAAAAGGTGCCACTGGCTGCTCTCCATGTTGGATATGGTGGGAGGACTGGAAGCTGTGCTCAGTTCCTGCTTCAAAACTGGTCATGACACAAGAGCCTTCCAAAATGACACATGACTTTAATGGAAGGTTGTTTAGTGATTAGATGAACCCTCAAACACACAGAAGTTGATTCTGTGAATATTACACTTGGGTCAGCCAGTGGCTGTGCAACCACTGACCTCATGTGGGATAACAGTTAGGATTTGAATCCAGAGTCTTCAGTGCTAGAATTGTGAAGAAGGTACTCATATTGTAGTCAGCTTGTACTTGGCTCATAAGCCTACTGTGTGGTTCCCGATGGAAAAACAAGCAACCCAGACTTTCCTATCGCAATTTTCACAAGCTCTGCTTTACTTTTGTCTGATACCTCACATGTTCTCCTCAAGGGACATAATAGTTAGCCCTTGCATTTGCTTCAGTTTTTCTGCAGGTCCTGGGGTCCAATGCTTTGTAAATCATTATAAATCATCACCTATAGACATACAACAAAACCATCCGAGGGCAGCATCTGAGCAGAAAATCAGTCACTCATTCACTGAATTCTGTTCTTTCTTCCTTTCCTAGCAATGTTAAAATGAGACCCTCTCAAGGCTTGTGCAAGATTCATATTATTTTTCCTGCCCTGCTGCAGACACCTTGCTTGGGCTGAGTACTGAAATGTGAATTCTAATTCTATGAAACTTCATAAATGCAGCATCCTTGAGGAAAAGACAGAAGAAGAACAGTAAAAGCAATAGGAACAAGTTATACTCACTTCAGAGTCTGTGCTTTGAAGTCAAACTTGGCTCTAGCAGGTCTCATCTAGAGATCAGGAAAAAAAAAATCAACACAAAGATAATAATCAGGTTTTCCATCCTCTTCTGAGGAACAACACGCCAAACTCTTCTACAGCTAGCATTAGTCTAGGGATGGAAATGAACACAGGTGTTCTGCTACAAGCTTATGTGCAACTGGTGCTACACTGTAAATATGTTGGATGGGTCACTGGGCCTCTTACCAGGGCAAAAAGTGCCAACTTGTGGTATAACAGCACTTAAATAGGACTTAACAGCAGCAAATCTTAAAATGTGACCAATGCTGGTGAATAAAAGCTGCTTCAGTAACTACAGTTACAGAGGCTCTGGGACTAAATTCCCCTCATGGAGAGGATCGGTGTGCAAAATTCACCAGCTGGCAAAAGAAAAAAGTAGGATTTTATTTGATGTGGCTCCTTACTGACTATTATCTGGCCCTGCTGAATCCTGCAATGTGGTCCAAGTAGAATTGGTAGGAAAGAGACAAAGGTGAGAAGGAAGTATAAATAAATAAAATGTGTTCATTAAAAATGTCTTCAGTAGCTATAAAGCCAAAGAGGACATGCTGAGAGCAGGCCTAGGCTTTAAAATTTCATTTATCTGGCTCATTTTCTAATTGCCACAGAACATTTGGACAATTTTCAAGTCATTCTGGTAATGAAGCGTAAAATAAGTACTAGTTGCATTTATGGAGTGTTTGAAATGACATAAGCAAAGGGCAGAAATATATAACCTATCCAAATGGTGATCTCCTCGCCCACCGCCACACTGCACCTCTGGGGAAACAAAGCAGCTGTAAGAGCCACAGGAGCATCCCCTAAGGCAGGAGGTAGCACCTGGCCAGCACACCTGGCCCAGCACCCAGCCCCAGGGAGAAGTGGCTCAGCCTCACAGAAAAACCATCCATCTCCTCCTTTGTCTCTTTCAAAAGACCGACCAGGTCGCACTCAGTGAAACATGCTGAGCCTTTTTTCCAGTTGTTTCCCAAGGACATGAAGCAACTTTTGATGAGGCAATCTATTTCTAACAAAAACTATGAGACAGTCACATGGCCAAGGTCAATAAGGCATGAAGTTTCTAAGCATAAGGCACAGACAGAAGGCAATGTAGCAATATGATGCAAAGGATGTAGAATGCCTTTGATTCACTAAAAGTAGCTGATATTTAAAGGCATGCATCACATGTGTGCACCAGCAATTCTCAGCAGGCATGCTTTAACATATGCAGCTTGGTATAGAGATACCTATTAATTTACTAGGCACGAGAGTCAAAGCAGTTCTAAATGAAGCCAGAATGGGAAAAGGGAAGGGGTAAAAAAAAACAAACAACATTCTCTGAAGAGCTAATGTCGGCCTGAAGCACAACGTCGTGAGAGGCAAATATTGCTTTGGGTCAAGCAGCAGACTGAGGTAACTAAAACAGACCTCTGACCCAGATTTCCTCTTTGCTGTATCGTCTACATTTAGGAGGTCCCCAAATCGCTCATTAGTGATAAACTGATGGTGCGTTGGAATGACCCCTGTGTGCCTTCTAGCTGCAATATCAGCTTCTTCTTGCTCACGTTTAAGCCGTCTCTGGTCCTCTAAAAGTTTCTGCCATAAAATTGCATAAAATGGGCAGTAAATCATCTAGTTAAGGCCATTTGAAAGCTGCCACAAATGTGACTTTAATAAAATAGCTGGGACTTTACAGTTTAACATAGAATACTGATTCAATGAACACAACACCATTAGATTTAGCAGGCACAAAATTACATTGCAGTAATGGCATAATGGAAATCCAGCTCATAGAGTGGATCTGATCCAAAGCTGATGGAAGTCAATAGGAGTTTGTCTAAGCTTGGGCCAGGCTCTGAGAGCTTATTAGATATGGGGAGGCTGCAGATAATGCAGATGGCTAACAAGGAGTTTCTCTCATTGACATCCAAGAGACCTGGATCAGCTGCACACATAAGCTGAGGCACCAAACTCCCCTGAGCTCTGAAAGGAGCTTGGGAGAGTGTCTACCCACACCCAGGTGCCAGATTCCCCCATTCTTCCTCTGGGATCAATTAATATATTTCTGTACTGCTCTATAATTTGAAATCAGCAGGTGGAACTCAGAGCCCTGCTCTTAGGTGAGTTTTCTTGCTGGATTTTGACACTGGGAGCATTACTAATGGGAGAAGACAGCAAAAAAATATTGTTTACATCGGAATTAAGAACCTTTTACCCATATTTCAAAACATACACAAACACTTGAGCTCAGAACGGTAATACGATTCTTCATTAAAAATACTCCTCGGTTTTATTTCATTTTACAATTATTAATTACGTTTGCAAACAGCTTTCTGGAAATCAAACACTTTTTAACTTCTTTAGCTCTGTTTGAATACTCCCTGTGTTGAAAATTCTGTATTGCTTTCTTATTATTCAGTTTGCCCATACATTATCTAACCATTTTGAAAAGGACTGACACATTCTGTTGACAATATGACACATCAAAGAATTCTAGTTTGCACCAGGGAAAAGCTTCCCACTTACTGATGGCTTGGGATGTCTTACATTTTCTACTCAAAACCTGAGGGCTCCCACAGGAAATGAACATTCTGACCAGTCTGATTAATACTGACTCAGGTGGCTTGCTTGGAGAACAGTAAAAAATTAAGTCACTTGTAGAATAAAAATTTCATCTTTATCTGCAAGTCCTGAGGTGCTGCACTACATCTCACATACTTATCCAACCTTTTTACATTCTTTATAACCCCTCTACATCATTCTGTGCAACTGACACAAACTGTAAGGTTCATTTTAAACAAAAGGTAAAGGGAACTATGCATCACACAATAAATCAGCACTAGAAGCAGTATTAAAACTAAAACTTTCTTGTTCTAACTTCCAATATACATATCAGTCACCATATAATTTGTCCTTTAAAAAGGGTTACAGCTTATTTCTTGTGTGTGGAGCTGCAGTAGCTGTTATTAGGCAATAGAAGAAGGCATTACCTCTTTATCATCATAACGCCTGCGGATAATTTCTTCTGGAGTTTCCATGTAATCAACTGGTGCAAAATGCCTTGGTGATTCTGAATCTACTTCGAAACAACATAAGGAAGTTAAAATACAAATGGATTTACCTAGCATAACCAGAAAGGAAAAAAATAAATATTTTTAAACAATTTGCTTCCATTAAAATAGTAAAGATTCTCAATTGCCACTAACTAAATTGCCAATCAGATGTCAATAATTTATCTATTTTCATTTTTTTCCCTTTTGGGCTGTACTTGTTAACAAAGATCTAAAAACAGGGAGAAAATAAAGGCACGGGAAAGAGTAAAAACATAGAAGGACTTTGTGAAGAAAAGATTTGCTGCCATCAAAATATGATTTGGCATTTAACTGCAGAGGAAAGTTTAACACACACACACACACAACCAGACCTTGAGAAACTGCTCCTTAAAGCAAATCATATGGGTTTGTTTTATACTCCCATGTGTGCAAATGATACAGGACTAGAAATATCTCATGTTGAGATTCTTGTATCCCAGGAGTTGCTTGAGAGACCAGCTGAACCCGGTGAGATTAGAAAGGCAGCGGTAACCGTTTCTCAGAAGTGCAGCTGTTACATGTCCTGAACAAAAATGCTCAGCAAGACACGCAAAGGACGTAAGACACACCATTAAAAAAAAAATAGGGAGAGTCAGGAGATGCAAGGGTGGGGAGTAAAAATGCAAGGGTTGTGAAAGGAAGGAGAGGGAAAGCAATACAGATGAAGGGACAGTGGTAAAGAACACAAAAAGCCACCTCCTAGGTACGTCCCAAGTTCACTTTGCGGGTTGTTGTTTGTGTCCAAGCTGTGATAGAGGGCATATGGAATTGGGTTCCCATTGTGTAAGGAGTCAGGAGTGTCAGAGCGGCCCATGGAGCTATCTCGGCTAGATCCCATGCTGGGGAAGTAGCTAAGCCTCTCCACAACATCAAAGGAAGACAGGCGCCTGGGGGCTAGAGGCCTGCTTCTGGAGCACAGCTCATGCTGGAAGTGATGACTCTTGTCTCCTACACTCCCCTGCAGCTGTATGGGGTCATCCGGGTTCTGGGGGCTGGGCACTGCCAGGGCTCCAGGGCAGTCTGGAGGTGGAGTCCTGCTGGACTTGTGCTGGAATGGCTTTTTCACTCGGAAGGGAAGTGGGCTCATTAGGTAGACATTTCTGGGGAGCGTGTGTCTGTCCCCATAGATTCCTTTGGAATCGGTGTTCCTGATGGCTTGCTGCTGCTCATGCCTTCGGATGGTAGTGAACCTGGTGTAGGAAGCTGGGCATGTGCCTTTGCATCTGTTGACTTTATGCTTCTGAGGCCCATTGATGTTGCTGTTGCTGCTGCCACTGTCATTGGATGCATTTGAGAGGAGATCTATCTCATCTGTGCAAGCTGAAAGTGTGTCCATAGGGATAGCATCACTGACATCTGAAGCTGTGTCCTCCACATTGCTGCAGGAATGGGAGGATTTGTCTGCCAAACTGGCAGCATCCTTCTCTTCTTGGTTTATTTTTGGCAAATCCAGAAGAATCTCTGCGGAGTAGGCAGAACCTAGACAAGCTTTAGACTGGAGAGAAGTAGTGAATTTGCTTTGTCCAGTGGAAAAGTCAAGTGCGGGCATCGATCGGGATCTCTGGATCAGCTGTTCAAAGGCACTGATACGGGAGGAAACAGTGTCTTTGGGGATCTGCTCTGAATCCTCTCGACTAAGGCTGTGTTCCATCCTGTCCTTTGCTTCGTTCTCAAATTGAGATGCAATGTCCCTCACACTGCAGGAGGAGACTGTGCCCAACTGGATCCTGGACCGGTTGATCTGGTGCATGTCTTTATACAGCATTGTAAACTCCATTCCGCTCTTCCTGGAGGCAGGGAATAGGTAGCCTTTTCTAGAGTTGTTGCCATACTCCTGTAGGCTCATGGTACTGCCAGACTTGATGACATATTCCTGCTTTGACTTCATCAACATGTTTTCTATGCTTTCCCCTACGTCTACCATAAAAGACTTTTTATTATCAAACAACGCAACGGAGCTACGAAGGTTTTCACAGCTTTGAGCTTTCTCATGAGACAGCAAGATACCCTTCTTGTCCTGCCCAAGAGCAGCTGGAGCTGCTAGCTTGGGTTTGAATTTAGAAGGGAGGATTTCAGTAATGCAGGCTTTTGCAGCTGATAAGGGCTTCTTATGTTTACATGCGTGACCTAACATACCGGTATAACTAGCGTTAAAGGTTCGGCTATTAACTGAAGAGGGTGCAGTCATATGAGCATTCCCACCTTTACGATCCACTGGTAAGCATGCAGAATAAAATAAATACAACCTGTTAGCTTAAGTGCTAGAAAGCTATTGAGAAAGGAGAGAAAACATGCTTGGATTTCATAAAATGCACTTTAAAGAAACAATGTTCCAAAACATAAAGAAAAGCAGGAAGACACTGCACAACAAGCCGCGCTCACAGAAGTAGGTGAAATGCTGCTAATAGTTCTAAGATGAGAGGCTCAGCCAGAAGTGCCTGCTGCACTTTGAAGGTATCGTCCTAAAAAGTTCTGAACATCATCAGCTTCCAGGGAAGCGGTGGCATCATGGAAAAGGGCAGCTGAACTCTGGGCGGGATTAAGGTGTCAGCACGAATGCACAGGCACTAACACTGCAAAAGTGGCTTAATATTAAGCCTGTAATCACACCTACTATGTTCTCACCATAATGCTTTCCAAAAAGTTAACTACTGAGGGAGAAGAAAAATCAAGGGCTGACTGTGCAAGCACAAGCAGGCTGCATCAGCTGGCCTTACCCAAGAGCCAGATTAGAGATTCCCCATGCTAGGAGCAAACTGAGTATGCTTCAGAATGGTGTGAGCCATGTTTCCTTTAAAAATCAAGGAGTCAAATGAGGACATTTTCTAACATCAGATCCAGTCTGGGTTCAGCTGTGACTGCAGTTTCTTAGATCTGTTTCTGATTTGAGTACATATTAAGATGTCAAAATAGCCATTCAGGCTCAATTGCCGTTTGGAGAACAATAAATTGAACAGATTTTTTCTGTTCAGCTCCAGTTTAACTCCCTGCCCCAAAGGCTGGACATAGTGCTGAAAAAATAGCCGGAAAATGGAGACAGAGACCTTTTTGGTGTGAACGCACTATTTTTAGGAAGAGCAGTTCAGAAACCCAATGCATTCTTTCCCCAGTCCTCTCCTCATCTGAAGCCATTTTTAGGTTGAAGTTGGCTCAGAGATACATTCCCTAACACAACTCCCTGATGGGAGCCAGCTCTTCCTTGACTTAATCTTCTAGAGAGCCCAAAATGGGGGGAGGAATGGGGAGATGAACACAACAGTCTCTGCTGCCTTGCTGCCTCACAGATTGCAGGGCACTGCTGTCTCAATGTCCTGTGCATTCTCTGCACACCCCTCAGGCAGGAGGCTGTGGAGCACATGGTGCCAGCTATCCCAGGGCATCTGGGCCAGCAGACATGCTGTGGCCTGCTGAGAGATCCAATAGAAAGAGCAGAAAAGGCAGGGAAGGGTTGTAGCATGACAATGCATGGTGCAGATGGACAGCAAGGCCAGATCAAGCAGCCTGGAGGAGCGTGAAGGTGTGGGAGAGAGGGAGCTGGTCCCTGCTGTGATGAGGAACCTGGATCAGGTAAAGGCATCATGAAAAACACTGGTTGGTGTGGGCTGAGGGAGAAAAGAAAGAAAACTAGAGATGGCAAAGAGGAAGGACAGAGGAACCCTCAATTGGCTTGAGCAGGACTGTAAACCCTGCAGTGCTTTGCTCCATACCACCATACTTTTGATACATTGTACAGAATGGAGGTCAGGTCCACATCCTGACAACCCACCTTTTGTGGAAGCAGAGCTAGAAGGACGCTTGAGACCACTCAGCCCCTGGAACGGGATATCTCCGCCTTCCAGCACACTCTTGTAAATCTGTCTCTCATTCTCCAAGGCAGCAAGGTCCCCTAGTGCTGGTTCTGAATCCCTCTTCGCTGCGTGGTAGTTGGGTGAATATGTGGAGCTGAAAAACAGTTTGGAAAAAAAAAGGGGGGGAGTAGATGCTAGTGGGTCACTTGCATTTGTTGAAAGCTTCATGCAGTGAAAGAGAAAACCACACCTGTAAACCCCAGAATAGACTGTACATAAAGAACTGACGGTGAATGAAGAGGTTATGAATATACTGCAAAAATACTGCAAGTTTTGTGCTCCCACAGTATGCTCAGCCTGAGGGAGCTCTCCTAGCTCAGACTCCCAGAAAGCAGGTGGCAGGAAAGCACTCCTCCTTTATTTTACAGATGAGACAACAGGCTCACAGAGGAGATGCATGGTTCCCTTGCAGATGAACAGAAATCCAGTGGCTAGCTGGAAGCGACATGTTTATCTTCCAGCTCCAGTCCTCTCTCCTCAAACACTAGCACTTTCTCTTCCCTGCTGCAAAGAACAGCTGCTCAGGAATCCATCAGAACTACGTCAGCCTCCCAGCCAGCATTACAGGCCAAGATTCACAGATTTTTCAAGTCATTCAATGAGGGACTTTGCAGAGAAAGAACAGCTTTGGGCTACAGACACTACTGTTTTAAGAGAAATTTCCCAGATGTGCACAGTTCTGTTCAGCTTTCCCTCAGACTTGCACTACAGGAAACATCATGTCCCAGACTCTCACTGACACAAAAACAAAATGCTGAATTCTGAGACAGATGTAAAAAACAAGCACAATCGTAATTTCTTAGGCCCTTAAGTATTGACAGTTTATTACAAATTCCTTTCCTTGGTCATGAATCTGACAGCCAGTACACCCCCACATCTGATATCTAGATTTCACTGTTCTCTCTTTGAAGAAGACAAGCCAAAAAAAACCCAAACAACAAAAAACATTTCATGATATAAAGGGCCATTCAAGGTGCAAAACATTTGCTAAGCAATCAGGCAGATTTTTTTTCCTAAAAGCTGAGCTGAGTTCATCTGATACCAGTCTGCATTCTCAACCAAGCTCTTCAGAATAAGATGCAGTCTCACACATAAAGCTATTCCTAGCCCAAAGCTTGGTTGCCAGAAAGTTAAAATAATAATAATAATAATAGCCTTTTGTCAATTCACAGAAATGTTCTGATGGCTGGTTTGCATCATGATATCCAGGAGTGATTCAAATGTATGCAAGTGTGGAAATGCTTGTAGTTATGCCTGCTTGTGGGTAAATCTGTACACACATCTGGTTATTTTGGATGGATGCTGTAGTTACAGGGCAAAGAGAAAGCTTTCATAAGCATCAGAGGACTGCCTGTGAGAGTGGAATTACACAATGTCTAGAACAAAAAGAAGTTTTTTGTTTCTGGACAAGGAAAACTAGGTCACATGCATTCCCATAAATTACTTTTCAAGTTTTCAAGGCCTAGAACAACTCCTACAACCACCAGCGCAGCTTGTGCTACCAGACTTCAGGGGGAACTGAGACAGGCTCCAGCAGATGACATGATTGCAGGAGAGCAAACCTGTCCTGCCTACCAAAAACATAGGTTTCACAGCTTTGGTAACATTTCTGGGACAGTCAGGAACTCAAGATTCTTATCAGCATCTGTCAAAAGTAAGCTATTCATTCATGCTAATCTTGGAGATTTCCATTTGCTTTACTTCTCTCTCTCTACCAAAAGAAAACTAAAAAGTCATGGGAACAACGAACGACATAATGTCAGTTGGATGCCTGAAGGAGAGCATGCCTTTCCCAACAACCCACGCACACCAAGGAGATCCTTGGACCTTTGGGAAATGCCAAGCAGCAGTCTGGTTACAGGAAGCAGCAGCTTCACAGGAGGAGGAACTCAGCACAGCTCAGCATTTCACCCGGGGACTTTTTTTCTTTCTCTTTTGAAGCAAACCAGCTCCATGTACCAGTCGATTAGCCAGAGTTAATATTAAGTATTCTTCCAGAAAACCACATTCAATCTCTGAGAAATATCGCTACCACTACTAGTTTTCCCTTCCTAGAAGCTAAAAATCACTGCCTTTGAAAAACATCATCCTTTTCCTCTGGCATGCCTACCTGGGAACATGTAATGGCAGACAATCTCACAAGAATAACGGAAATAAATTTCTTTTTTGTTACCAGGCAACAAAATTGTTGGCAAATACGTTATATCTTAGTGTAAGTTGGATCAAGATGGAGTTACAATTCTGCTTGTTTTTTAAAAAGTTTTTGCCTAGCACAATAGCAATTCATATCTAAGCAGTGCCACCACTCCTGTAATCACTACAAAATTCATTCAAGACCAAAGAGCAGGCATCATATCCGAACTCATCTAAAGTACATGTAGAATTTTCCTGGGACATGCATCTGCCTATATCCATCACCAAAAAACAGAGCCAGCCCATTTCCAGCACCCTATATCGTGTCCTACATGCTGCCAGACTATAAAAGAGACATCAAAAAACAACTTGAAAACTTACTAGGAAGAATGGTCCGTGGAAGTTTCCAGAGGAGTAACACCTGCTGTATTCTGCAAAAGTCCAAACAAAGGAGTAATTGATACACACTTACATGCCAGGAATAAGAAAAAGGCTTGCTTAAGTCATTTTCCATCGCCCAAATATTAGCATTTATGAGACATGGAAGTTTAAGGCAAAATGCAATTTAAGCTGCCGATATCTTTGCAGAAAAGCAACGATTTTCCGAGTTCCTTTAGGGCAGTGACAGGTTTTTAGCACAGCCAATGCCTTTTTGCAGCGCCTATTCTTTTGTCTGCCAATGAGTCATTGTGCATAAAGCCAAAAGCAAGAAGAGATAATCAGCTGGGCCAGGACCAGGAGACACATGCTCATCATTATTTCCCCAAGCTTTCCCCCCAACCAGTCACTGCCCAATGCTGCTTTAAAGGTACATTACGTTTCTGCAGCACAATACGTTCTTAAGCATTCAAAAAAAAACAACAAAGCGCTAACAAGAAAAGCAACATTTCAGTTCCATTTCCTTACTTAAGAGAAGCAATGCGAGCTGCACAAGTTCAAGAGCAAAAGCCAGATCTTATCCACTTGCTTTAAATCCATCTAATGCTACCTAGGCACATTATTGAAAAAATGGAAGGCAATTTTAAAAGAAATGCTGCATTTGGTCTCCCCTCATCTACCTGAGGATTCGTACAATGGAAGAAAAAGCAAATCTTGGGTTTGAAAAAGCAGCTTGTTCACGTCCTGTTGAAATGCCGCAGTTTCAAAGAGAGAGAGAGAAAAAAAAAAGCCCAACAAAAGAAAAAAATAGCATGTTACCAATTTAATCTATCATTTCATGGTTCGGGTCCTGCGGAGCCTCAGAGTGGCAGCAGCTGACCTGCCCTGGAAGGCCACGGCAAGGTGCAGGGTAGGGAAAATGGTGTAAAATCTCTGGGGAATATCCAAATGTTGGGCAGCACACGCTGCTAGCAGGGAGCAGCAAGGCTTGTGCAAAGGGAGGGTTGATGGCAACACGCTTGAAAGGCACGAGATGATGACGTGAGGCTAAGCAAGAATTTTAAGCTGATTGCTGCTGCCTATTCATGTGAAAAATAGAGAGGGTTTGTTGTTGTTTTTTTTTTTTTTTTTTGCAGACACCGAACTCAAAACCCTAAAGGGGGACAGAGGTGGGGGACGGGTAGCTGAAAAGGAATGGGGGGAGAGGAAATTGCTGTTTCTGAAAATGGATTTCAAGCCGGATTCTCAGCATCACATTCTATTATTTCTGACAGCGACACAGCAAGCCATGCAGTCAGAATGGTCAGAACCATTATTTATCCCAACCTCATTTAATAATCATCCAGCAGCAAATAGATTAGAGCAGAGAGTTTGGAAACAGGGATTGGCAGCATGAAAAGAATAGGAAATACCTTCTGTGGCTTTTTATGTGGCGCTTTATAAAGCTTCTCCATTTTTTCTAAATCTGCCTCTAACTCAGTCTGGTAGAGGTAGAGGTCTTTTTCTAGATCAGTCTGGTTAAAGAAGGAGAAGAAGAATGGGAAAATGATGCTTAGGGTTAGGGGATATCAAAGGAATGTTAATTCTGAAAAATAAATAAGCGAGCCTTTTTAATTGAAAAAGTCAAAGATGGTATGGACAATAAACAGAAATCCACTAGTAATTAATTGCGTTTCAATGGTTACAGAGGAAATTGATTTAGGCATTTAACATTCAAAATTAAAAGACACGCAGGCCTGCTAGGATCTAATTCTACCAACAATAAAATTATAAAACCCACCTGTAAAAAAAAAAAAAAAAAAAGATACTGTGACAATAGGCTGTTAGTATAATTATCATTGCAAGTCAAGATAGCAAAACCACCATTCTAAACTACTGCTGATTATGGTTTAAGAATTGCTTATTAAATCAAATTACTAACTACTTGTTAGGCAAATGAGCTCAAGCCCATTTAAAAAATAAAATCACTCACAGGCACACAAAACCCAAGCAATGTTACAAAAGAAATCCACATACACACACACACACGCAGCAGATGCTGTAGTACAACGTACGTGAGACACAATTACCTTTCTATCCTCTCTAGTAAGGATAGAGCAATCTCCAGGAGTATAATCCCAAATCTTTTTTGGAGGCTGATGGAAAGCAGAGGAAGGAAATGAGGAAATGAAGATAAGGAAGACATCACAGAGAATATGGAAACTGGATTAGAACAGAGCGGGAATACAATAGGGGATTTGCATCAACACTGAAAAGAAATTAAAAACAAACAACAAAACAGAGAAAGAGAGATAGAAAGAGGGATAAATCCGTTCTAGCACGAACATCGAGAGATCACAGGAGGTAAAAGGAAGCACACATGCAGTCTGGGAGGGGCTGCTTTCAGTAGTATTTGGGGACAGCTTTATTACTGTGAGGCGCTCAAAGGGATTTAGGGCTCTCTAGGAGGAGCCTGCAGCTGTGGTTAAAGCATTCTTAATATAGACACAAAAAAAAAATCACAAAACAAAATGGGGAAAAAAAATCACACAGTCATAAAAAGCATTTTTTTGCTCATTCTTCTTTTCAAAAGGAAAGGGTAAAATAAGGGCCTTTGGTAAAGAAAAGGGAGATATCTTTCCCACCCACACCAGACTCTGAATACATACCATGTGAACAAATGGCTGAATTTCCAGTGTTGGCATTGTGGGGCAATGAGAATGCAGAGTTGTTATTTGCTATTATTCTCTTCTGGGGAGATGGTTTGTGGTGTTTTGTTTTTTTTTGGTGGAGAGAGTCGGGCACAGGCAAGTTTGGGAAATACTTAGTTATAATTGATCCTACAAATAAAGGCTATTTCAAAATACAATTTTTCCTATTTTATGTATGTGTAAATATCAGGGAAGATTATTCAGAGTGAAAGACCTTTGTCCTACCCGAATAATGCCGTACCAATATCCTTCTCTTACCAGACGTGCACTTCACTGACATGTTCAAACACTTCGTTCTTACTTTGTAAAATCAAAATACTTCTGCTCTTCTGCAAACAAAGTAATCTCTGTTGGTTGACAAGCTTAGCATCATCCTAGGAGTCTGTACTGACTGACAGAACTATATTATCAAAGTATCTGACAGGGAATCATGAAAGCATGATTGAGCTACAACATTTGAGTCTTGGTCCAAATTCCATCAGGTTTCCAGACAGTCTGGGTCTGTAGTTTGAATCAGGCTCACTTCTAAACTTGGACTGCGACACTAGGGCATGAGGTCAGCAGCCAGTAGACAAGATGGTGCTGTAAAGATTCAGGTTTGAGACGTGGAGAGAGGAAGCGGAGGAAAGCAGGTTATGCACGAGGCATAGGATAGGTACGAAGGCAGGATATGCACGAACCCTTTTTCCAGTCCTCTGTTCATAGCAAAGAGCAGATTCAGGGGCTGGGAGAAGTGTCCAGTGTCCACATGTGTGACCCCACAATCCCAACAGAAGACAGTGAAGCTCTAGACTGGCTGGCCATCAAATTTGGCTAGTGGGGGGAGAGGGGAGGTGTACCATGTAGTGCAAGGTCAGAGGTTGGGAAGAAAGAAGGAGAATGTGGGGATTCAGTCTCCGCAACACCCTGGAAAGGCATCCATGCTGCACAGAGCAATCTTCCTGGATGCTCTGCAGGCACACATCAACATATCTCCCTAGAAACATATCTGGGATGTTCAACCAGCAGAGCACTGCTTCAGCTGTCCTTAGGAAGTGTATAGGCTTTCCTCAATGCAAACCCCTATCCTGGTCATTCTGGTATGTTTGGAGACACCACAGCCTTGCAAGAATACTGTGCTTCCTTCTACCAAGGGTGTTTACTGTCCATGTTCCATAGCCGCCATATTAAAGCCATAAAAATGGGAAAATATGCTTTTACAAGTATACATTATCTGCAGCACTAGGCAGGGAAAGCCTGACCAATGTAAATGGGGCTTAGCCACAACTGGTCACAAAAATCAGATCTTATTGTGGCTAAAGTGAGCAATGATACATGAAGACTATTTGGCTGTGGTTGCAGGGCTCAGTGAGAGCTTTGTTGGATTTGTCTTGTTCAAGAGCAGCTATCAGTAAAAGTCTGAAATAGCATCCTCAATTAAAATGCCCAATGTAATGCTGAAGCACTATGCATATAGCGCCACATTCACTGTCTGGTATAATGTACCAGGATGAACACATATGGTTTTGGAGACAGAGGAAGTTGACATGGGCAGTCACTTAAAGGCAAACTGTAAGAAACCAGGCCTTAACAAAAGTCATGGACATCTCAAACACCTTTGAGGCCTACGTAGCATATGTCGGAAGGCTCTTTGCTATAAAACACAGTTGCCAATGACAGAATGGACAACCCAGCCACTGATCGTGCCTGTTTTCCAGCAGAAGTTATACTATTTCTATATGCAATCAGAATAGGCACCCACCCAAATTCAGACATCTATAAACTGCAGAGGGATTTAATCATATCCTTGAGAACTGTGAGCAATGCTTAGGTTTAAAGAAAACCTGCCCTCTGGCGTCCATATGCAATAGGCTTTGAAACCAGTGATGAACTCTAAAACACATTTGTTTTATTATATGTGCATTGAAATCTCAGCAGTGTTCAAAAGTGGCGTGTGTGGGTATTCGACAGTTTCAAAAAAAAGAGGAAACAGCCACTGTACTTGGATAAATGTAAGAGGCTGATGCTGACCCTCTGGTGCAGTAAGAGTAGCTTATTAAACAGCATTTAATGATGAGGTTCATTGTGTTTAATCAG